TTTTGTGGGTATATGAAATCGCTTGGTTACGCAGCAGATAAGTTGTCGAAAATTGAGCCGCGGCGAACACTTGTCCGAGATAATGTTTAAAACGTGATGACAAACAGCTATCTTTGTAATTAAGCTAAATTCTTCATCAGTTAATCAAATTTTCTGCGTTTTAATTCTTCTTCTTCTTGAAACTCGGTCGCGGTAGCCGGAAGGCCCTTCTTCAAATCCAGTTGCGACCAACATCCAAAAGCTGTAGAAAATAAATTTAAATAAAAAATTAAGCTAAATTTTCTAATGGCGGTCGCCCTTCGGCTGGGAATGTCCAGCCCTCGGAGTGTATTTCGGACATCAAAATCAAAGCTCTCATTAAAGAGATCATCAACTGTTCGGAGGCGGCTTAGTATTAACTGTAGGACCCTCTATTTCTTGGGAAAACATCCAGACGTAAAACCACAAACGGAAGGAGGAGCTCAGCCGAAAATCATTTCAGCAATGACAAAGTACCATTTATATATATGTATATGTATGTATATATTTCGAAAGGACTGATACGACATGGAAGGGCGTTACTAGCAGTACTACAAGCAGGTAATATATTAAAGTAGGCGAGCATGAAATGCCCTTGTCCAGAGCGCTTTGCTGTTCAGAAGACTAAAAAAAGTCTCGAAACTCGAAATCTATGCTATTTTGAACTGGTAAATACTTCGACTCAAATTAATTAGAGCATCGAACATTAGTTATATATACAGCCTGTCAGTCTCCAAAATGACTGAAAAGGAATTAAAGTTGTTTCTTACTTATCAATGCCACTTATGTTACTTCTTTATTATTTTTATTTTTATTATATTTTTTGTTTTTTGTTTTGCGAATTTAACATTCAGTACAAATATACACACTTATATATATATTTATACATTTATTATATATATGTATTATATATTATATAGTATGTATATGTATTATGTGTTACGTCTATATGTATGTTTCAGTGCATGCCCTTCATGGCGCCTCGCTTAGTTAAAATTCACCAGACTTCGCCGGAAAGGTCGCATTCACAGCAAAAACCAAACCAAAACAGTAAATTCAAGCTGCGCCAACTAAACCGGAAGTAAATAGAGCTCTAAAGCAAGCTCCATTAGAATTCACACATTAACGAGGTACAAAAAAGAATTTAAATTCCACCCAAACAACATATGTATGTGCATACATATGCACCTCTGTATCTATGTATGTATGTAGCACATTGAAAACATTTGTTAAATGGCCTTCACACAATTTCCAGACACACAATGACATATTTGCCCGTTGCGTAAAGCCACATTTATGGCCCCACACGCGTGGCTGATTTGATTATGCGACTACATATATACATAAATGTACATAACTAACCAACTAGCATTCAACACTTCTAATATATGTATGTACATATGTATGTATGTAGGAACTCAAGCAGCGCGCAATCAGCTATGGCAACAACAACAAATACATAACTACAATAAAAAAATATTGTCATACCCCGTTGAGCCGCCGAGCAGTGGGGTCTCGCGGTGGCGTATTCACCTGCAAGTACCAGCTAATGGAACATACATATGTACATACATACTTATGTACAGACATACAAATATATATATGACATATAAAAAATGTAATGTATATATATGTATACATATGTGCATATTTATTTAAAGGCGATCAAGCCATGTGGCCTCAAAATGCACTCCTCAGAACCCAACCAACTTATGAGTAAACAAAAAATTTTGTAAAAAAAAATCTAAGACAAAAATTAAAAAATAAAAAATAAAAAATTAAATAAAAAACCAACAGCGGGAGCAATTAAGATCGCTAAAGTCAGCGTGACAATTTTATATGTGTGTATGTTTGTATGCATGTGAGTATGTTGCTAAACGCTGTGGCAACCAAGACGGACGAACCAGACGAACGGTTGGTTGAATAAATCAGCGGAGCATCAAAGTGATAGCCACACGCGTTTATAGCGCAACCGAGCCAGCGCCATTAAATGCCCACATATATATGTATGTACGTGTGTGTATATGTACATACATAAATGAGTTATAAACGAAGCAATAAAATTAAATACAAACGATTTTTGTGGTAGCATAAAGTCGCGTGAGTGTAATAAGTGCCCCCAACTAAGGATTCTTTCGGTTGGACGAACAACGATCAGTTGGTAGATTTGTAGTGAGTATTAGTGCTCTCTGTGGGAAAATTTTTCGAGTGAAATACTTATGAAGAGAACCCTTGAAGAGCATTTCAATAGCGCACATGAGTGGGAATGCAAGTAGCGCATTAGCGTACAGTGGTACCAGACTAAAAATCAAAGTCATTAGCAAATGGAGTTTTGTTTTTTTAAAACACAGGAATCTTTCTCTGTAGGGGACCAAATTAACAAGCTCTCTCTCTCGAAATCGAAATCGAAAATCCCCACACCAAACCTTGCTAAATGAGTTGAGACTGATCCATTTCATTGGATTTTGAATTGTAGCCGCACCAGCACCAGATCCCAGGAGTTGTTTCGCTGAAAGTGATTTTTTTACGCCGTGGTCCCAAGCTCCACCGAGCTCCTTGTTTCATAATGTCGAATTTAATTACCAAAGGCAAGATCGTCCGACGCTTTCACTCGGTGTTTCAATCGCCTAGTCATTTAATATCATGGGAATAAGACAGTTCCGATCAACAGCGAGTGGTATAAAATGAAGATTTTTCGGGAATTACATGAGGGATCCATTGATGCTGGAATTTATTCAACTCCGAGGATCACTCAACAATTTTTAGCTCATATTTCGCACCAGCCAAAAGACCTAAAGCTTGAAATTCACATAATCCAAGCTTATGCTCAAAACAATATACATATGTACTTATATTCAAACCTATTTATGTATGTATGTACATATGCAATAGTTGCATTTAGAACGGGTCCACTCTAAATCATAATATCGTGAAATCCCCATTCGGAAAATCTTTATTTCAATTTTTTTTTTTAGTGTTTTACACACTTCCTATTGATTTTGGACCAATTTCCGAGCAAACGAGGATTTCCCCCACTTTGTATGCACAAAGCACACATGCGTATACATCTAACAAAAACACATTGCATAAACGACAGACGCACCAGTTTACCTCAAATGGGGTGTTTGGTGTTTATTATGTGCGAGTAGTAAGTAGTTTCAAAAAAAATACGCAAAGTCGCGTTAACGTTTCGCATGAATCATCATCAACAACCAACGAAAAAAGTACAAAATTGATTGACAACAGAAAACCCATATAAAGAGCGCACCGGCCAAACATTCACACTCAATTTGCACAACGAAACACTCAATTTCACACATTACTCACTGAGTGACTACTCAGCGCTTGAATACTACAATATATGATCGTACCATCGCGGTCGATGCTGCCAGCGCCACCGCCATCGCAATACGTCACTCACTTAGGCACTATAATTAACAACTCGTTTGACCACCTACAAAAACCGCACAATGGTAGCTACTCATATGTATGTGCATACATATGTACACATTCATATAACTATGGATGGCAGTCCAGTCAGCAAACGTTTACATTCTCCTACACGTCATGAACGCTCCCCACCCCAACACACAGTGCGCTTTGACTCGTACATCACGACGAGCGTCTAGCTGGCACAGAGGCAAGTCGGCCGACAGACACACGTAACGTGCCGTTGGTCGATCGTATATTTTGGTCGTGTGGCGGTTGACTGCGCTTGCTTTGCTTAGCACCTACAAGCAATGCATACGTACATATGTACATAAATTTGTATATACTTAAGTATGTACATACCCATATACAAGTATACACGAGTGTATGTTTGTATGCACAGTTGTTTATTTATTTGCAGTTTTGCCGTACGATCGTCATGCCTCACCTCTGATCTCTAAACTGCCGCGCACCTACCAACCGTCTTACCTGTGTTTGCGCTGCCGCTAGCAATACCTGCAAGTGTGTCTCTGTCTACTGCTACAACTGCATAGTCATCCCAATCGTGCCGACCGAACGATCCTATGCGAGCGACGTACCTACAGTGATTTTTAGCCAACGAACCTGTCGATCAAGCGGCGTCGTTAGCGTCGTCGCCGTTGTCGCCTTCGACGTCTTCGTCGTGGTCGTCCTCGTCAGTTATGTTTGTGGCATTGTATGCCAAACAACAACGATAAACAACAACGACTACTGACATTAACTACCATCGCACATACAACAACAATACCAGCTATAAAAACAACCATCAACCACTACGACCACGACCATCACCACCGCACCGCATCACAATTTGCCATCACAGTCGCACTGTAATCAGCTCCTAAAAATTCCGTAACACAGATACTATAAACTCAAATTCAAACAGAAACAGAAACAGAAACAAACAACAACATTCATATACGATAGAACCCAACCGCGCAGCGTAAAATCCAAGCGGCGCGCAGAGCACAGGGCGCAGACAAACCAAGCCGCCCGTCAGTCATGCAGTAGGCAAATAAAGTGAGTGAACAAACAACAATAACAATAATAACAACTGTTGGCAGTCAGTGTGCGGCAATTGAGTCTGGTCCGAGCTGTGTTGACGAGTCTTTTAATCGCACTGCGACTAGAACATTGAATTCATTCGCTAAACGAACGTCGAGGTGAACACAATAAACTCGGTCACTAGCGGAATACAAACGGTTTGCTTGTCTGAAAAAGTCGAAGCGCAGAAGAAATATTACGTTAAAGAGCGAAAATCATAATAAAGCATTCGTGTCTTACAACGAAAGTGAATTGAAAACTAATTGGCTGACTATTTTTAACACTTATTGATGAAATTTTGTAAACACAACAAAAAGAAGAAAATTGTGAAATTGTAAACGTAATAAAAAGTGGCAGCTATAAATAATAGAAACTGAACTGAAAGTGAAATTTTATATGAAAAAAAACTGAGCAGACTGAATTGAAAACCAAAAAAAAAAAAAGTTGCAAATTCTGCAAAAATAAGAATTATTAATTAAAAGCAAATTGTGATAATTAAATTTGTGATTTATTCGCTACAAAAAAGTTAAGAAAATAAATAAACTGAAATATAAAATGGTAACAGGAGTCGCGGGTCCAAATATGACAGCCAACGTTATTGGAACGCCGGTTGCAGCACTAAGGGAACATGCGCCAACAGTTAAAAGCGATCGACGGGTAAGTTTCTTCGATTTGCGGAAAAACGTATTTCCATTTAAGCAAGCAATAAATGATGTGAATAAAAAAGCAGTTAACAAAAATCAAAAATTTAAAAAAAGTATAAAACTATTAAACAATTAAAAAAAATTATTTGAGTAAATTAAAATGTTGAAAAAAATACAATTTAGTTGATAATTAAAAAAATTTGAAAAAAAAAATTAATAAAAATTTAAACAATAGCAAAGTAATAAGCAAAAATAGAATTACGCAAATTAAATTACACCCGTCAGCACAAGCCGCAATTGCGCTGACTGACACCCACCTGCCGCGGCTGTGAACTTTAGGGGCATTTTAGTGCAAATTTTTGGTCAGTTGGTTGTGGGTTTGCTAGCCATTTCGGGCGTTAACGATGCTACCACATACGACACAACAAAACATTAACGGCCACTCACGCATTCACACGCTGCAACCAAAGATAGAATTAGCAAGAAAAACAAAAGTCGTCTAAGTTGAGCGCTGGTTTGCCCTAAATACGAATACATATTCAAATCCGGCACGCGGCGGCCTACAATCGCGAAAGCCCCCTCTTTTCCCCTCTTTGTGTTGGTACTTTTACGTTTTCATTCATAACAACGCCTAGAGTTTTTCTGTAGTGTATCGAGTTTAGCACGTCGACGCGTTTGTTGGCGTAAGTTATTCCTACAACAACAACAACAACAAAATCAACAACCACTTCTGTAGTGTATCGAGTTTAGCACGTCGACGCGTTTGTTGGCGTAAGTTATTCCTAATTTTGGAAAAGACAACTTATGCGCGGCGCAACGGCTTTTTTTCAAACGCCGGTTAAGGCGCATTCAAAGCGAAAAAACGTGTCTAAATGTTGGTTGTTCGCTCGTTCGCATGTTGGCGATGGCGGACGCCAACTATAAACTGTTATTTTCCTACGCGCTAAACGTTTCTAAGTCAACTCAGTACAACGAATATGCAAACAAACAGCTGGCTGACTATTCATTCATGCAAGCCAATATTGGTTGCAACCGTAATTGGAACAGTTTTGATGACTTCACTATCGTTTGTTGTGTATGGAGTGACGCCTTCACACTCTTTTTCTATTTTCTAACATATTAATCATAATATCTGCTTTTGGGCATTGTTTGTTTTGGACGTCTGCGTCCCACAGACATATGATTTTTATGGTGGCAACGGCACACGCAAATAGAGGGGGAAAAAATGTAGGGAAGAATACGCTCATTCGTCTTTAGAAAATTAATGTCATATATGAATGTAATGACAAATTGTGAACAATTTTCACCAACGACCTTGCCACGCGTTGCTTTTACGCTTTCGTTCTATTGCAAACACATCCATAGATCTACTTATTTCACCTCAGCGTTAATGAGACATAAGTGCGCTTACCATAATGATCGCCTTGTGTGCTCATCGTTTGTTCGTAGGTGTATGTGCGCGCACATATTTTCAAACATCGCGCCGCTATTTTTAGCCATTTCTCGAATTGGTCAGCCTCACTCGTATATCGCGGCATATACGCGCGCGCCGCTTTCATGAAGCGACTACAAATTTCTTTACTTATTATTATTGTTTGCGGTTATTGTTTTTTCTTTTCGTTTTTGTAAATTTTATTTTGGCGGCGGCACTTAATGACACTTATCACCACAAACTTGGCCAACAGCCGTCGCGCATTGCTTTTGGCGGATGGTGTTGGCGTGCGGTGGTGACGCGTCCGTCGCAAATACGCTAGGCATTTCATTTCGTACGGACGTGCAGGCGTTTTATTTTTAGACGCCAACACATTTGCGCTACACTTAAAAATAACGCATGCGATTGTTGGCATCGCCACCATATCCGCTCCTCCACCTCGTCTTGTTGGCCGAGTGCCATAATTGCGCTGTGCCGCTATTTGTAGTGTCCAATTAAAGCATCATGCGCGTACCGTGCATGGCCAGCGCGTCGCTTAAGTGCCAATGGCTTTAATGGATGCCGCGCAGTTACATTATCGACCGAACCAAATGCGGCTAAAATGTGTTAGCGTCGGCGGCGCACTTGTGGAGTTGGCTGCTTTGGTTGCTTGATTACGACGCGTCAATGTGGTTGGGCGCTATGCGTGTGGCAAGTGCAAATCTACATGCATACCGACTTATGTATATAAATACAAATATACCATCATACATTCATATTTATTGCACCAATTTGTTTTTGCATTGCATTCGCGTTGCCATAAAATGCAACTGCCCACTTTCGAGACAAAACAACTAATTCGATTTTTTTTGTTTTTGCCTTTTTCATTACAGTCGAACAAACCGATTATGGAAAAACGCCGACGCGCTCGCATTAACAATTGCCTAAACGAGCTGAAAACACTCATACTCGACGCCACAAAGAAAGACGTAAGTATTCTTACCAAAATATTATGTAAAATCCTACACCTAACCTCGCTCTTCACCCGCACCATTTTCGTGCATTTTTAACATTCCCTCCCCCCAACTTCTCACACCGAGCGTAAGCAAAATTAACTAATCTCTTCATTATCTTCTTCTTCTTTCTCTTCCACAGCCCGCGCGTCACTCTAAGCTCGAGAAGGCTGATATTTTGGAGAAGACTGTTAAGCATTTGCAAGAGCTGCAACGTCAACAGGCCGCCATGCAACAAGCTGCCGACCCAAAAATTATTAATAAATTCAAAGCTGGATTTGCCGATTGCGCCAACGAGGTCAGTCGTTTTCCCGGTCTCGATCCAGCTGTTAAACGTCGCCTCCTCCAGCATCTCAGCAATTGTATTAATGGCGTCAAATCGGAGTTACATCAGCATCAACGTCAAATGGCAAGCGCCGCGTCGTCCGCACAAATGCTGCCCTCACCACCCAGCTCACCCGAGCAAGATCCACATCATTTGCAACAACAGCAACATGTCGCTGCCGCTGCTGCCGCCGCCGCTGTTGCTGCTGCTGGCGGTGCTGGTGCACATCCCTTCCTTATGGGTGCACAATTGCAACACACAATGAATGGGTATTTTTTGCCCAACGGTCTTCAGGTGATACCTACTAAGCTACCAAATGGCAGTATAGCGCTTGTTTTGCCACAGCAGCAGCAACAACTGCAACAGCAACAACAACATCATCAACAGCAGCAGCAACAGCAGCATGCAGCGCAGGCGCAACAACAAGTCATACATATGCAGCAGCAGCAACAACACCAACAACTGAGCGCCGCACAAGCCGCTGCACTGATATCTATGCCCAGCCGCACTGCCTCAACGAGCTCGGCATCATCGCACAGCTCCTCCGTATATGAGCGCACACTCTGCTCCCCGGCCAACAGTGTTACGCATTACGCGCCACCAAGCCCCGCCAATTCGTATGAGGCTATGGACTGCAAACCCTCTGTTATACAGCATGCGCCTACACTATCTCAACAACAGCAGCAGCAGCAACAACAACAACAACAACAACAAAATCAACAACCACTTTCATTGGTGATCAAAAAGGACATTAAAGTAGAGGACGAACAACCTTGGCGTCCATGGTGAGCGGTAGCGCCAACGTATGGTGAAACTGGAAAATGTCACTTTTTTCCGTTGGGAAAAATGCGACAGATGTGATGTACACCAAAGGTGCCGGGGCGGGGGTATACTAGTAAAGGGTTGCTGGCGTTGAAGAGAGGCTTTTGAAAGTCATTGGCAGCGGAAGCTTATGCCAGGCAGACATTGGTATTGCTTTAGCGACGCTGGCGGCATGCTATGGCCACCTCATCGTCGTAAATCGTATTTCGCGCACTTGCCTTTGTGTAAATGACGTTGAAGTTGATGTTGAAATTTTTCATTTAAATATCTTTGTTTGTGGTTCTGCGCGCACAAGCCACGTCAACAGCAGCTGTAGCAGCTGTGATGTGCTCAGCAGCGGCGGCAGCAGTACTCCCACCAGCTGAACAACAACACCAGCAACAGCCAGTCAGTCAGTCAGCCAGCCAGCCAGCTTGTTGAGTGACGAAAAGAAAGCAAAACAAAAATATTGGGAAATCAGCACTTAATTTACTACTACCTCAGCAAATACAGGGGCGTATCGCGATTGGTCGCGACTCAGGGGCGCTTCATTTGAATTTCATAGCTATCTCATTGGAGTATTACAAGTATACACACGTACATACATACAAATAATAAATAGTATAATAGGAATTGGCGAATCGTCAAGGCTTTTTTTTAGTCATTAATAATTTATAAATAGTTTATATAATTTTTTTAAATTAATTACAGCAATTAATTTAATTTACATTAATTTTTTTTATTGTATTTTATGCATTTTTATTTAACACAACTGATAATAATAGCAATGACAAGAAAACAACAATAAATCGTATCGGTCTTCCCAACTTTTAGTGTAGTAATTTGTACTTGATGAATTTGCATTATGTACAAGACATACAAACATATATTTATATTCATAAAAAAAAAAATATTTTTACTTTAGTCGTAAAATTAGCTGTAAATTATTTATGTATTATTTAAGAAAGAGAAAATTTTCTAAAAAAAAAAACAAAAAGGAAATTGAAAAGAACCATACCTGAAAGAAAAAGATATACTACATAAAAGCACAATAAAACAAAATTTTATTAACTAATAATATAAAAAAATATCTTTTATTTATATTTATATACGGTTTCCGAATCGGTCTCTGCTTCATTTCTCTGCTCTGAGCACAAAATGTTTTTTTTCCAGGAATTTTATTAATATGTAAATTACGCAGGTCCTGTTTTCTGCCTTCAAACGATATTTTCTCCAAAGCACAAATATTTAAATATTTCTGAGATTTTTCTTCTATTTAAGAGAGCAATAGCGCGACAGCTGTTTTCTCTCTCTATCTTCCACCGACAGGTGTTGCATACAAAATTTGGGACTAGAATTACCTGATGATCTAAACGCAGCTAGGTCGCCTTGGTCTGACTCAACTCCGGTGCGTACAACCGGCTGTCGTTGTTGTTTAGCGGCTCGCTAACTCCGCTTAGGCACAGGCCAGGAGGTCCAGGAAACGTGCTGTTTTGACGAGTTCGGACCAGAGGAAGAGTGGGTGAGTTGCGTCGGTTTCATAGGGCATGTAAAGAGGTGGTTAGTGTCGCGCGGAGACTCTCTATATGCAGGGCATACGTTGGGCAGGTTGCGGACGAGTTTGTATAAGTAGGAGTTTACAACTCTCACAACAGCCGGTTCTACGCACCGGAATTAATCCGTATTTTATCCGGTCAAGGGCAGTCACCTTTTCAGCAACCTAAGTCCGTTTAGGTCAACAGGTAACTGGCTACCGTGAGAGTAGTTACTTTGTCGCAAATTACGCTGATCCGATTTGGAGGCCGGAAAATAGCGAGAGATAAGCATGTCAAAACATCGCACTCAGAACGGTGACAGGAAACTTCTTAATGTCACCGAAGCATCACCTGCTCAGTGAAAAACAGATCCGGTATAAAGACCCGACTGTTACGGCAACTATTGGATTTTAATCGCCGCTAACGACAGGCATGCCTTACCGCGAGAAATTTCTTGAACCTCTACTCCGCAGTTTCTATATGCCGCTGTTAAACCATATCTACTGAACATTAGGCGAGGGTATTGATAGGCTTTAAAACATATTCAAAGGGACCGCGTTAACACCTTTATAAACTCTCTTCCAGTCAATGGCATTATCGGTACCCAAGCTAGCACAATCGTCTTCACTACTACCTATCCAAACTTGACTCCGACATATTTCGCGTATATCCTGCCTACAATGGGACCGCACATAACAATAACATTCTCTCTGCATGCTCTCCTGCTCATCTAACTACTATTTTCCCGTCAAAACGGCTCCATTCTTGAACCGTCTAACAGACCAACCGCTGATTACTTCCCACCTTAACAATGAAGTCCAAAACATTCAAAGCGGGAGCGCTCCCCCTATACGGATGACATATTCGTACAAATGTACATATGTATGTACTTAGCCTGAAATATGTCAACGACATCATAAATTTTGTTTAGCTCTCGGTTCTGCCGTTTGCGACACTCGCCTATGCCGACTCCCCAAGAAAGACTAAAGGAGTCAATAGCATCCTTTCCCAATTGGCGTATGATGAATATTTGATCATTGATAGATTTGTCTGATCTGAATCGGTTCATTAACGGTGAGCTTCCGTGGCAATGGAACGTTTACTTTACTCGGGTTTGCCTTCTGCTGGTGTTTTTTTCACTATAATTTAGTAGGCTGGAGAAAGACTCACTCAATGAACTCAATATACTCAGTGTATGTGCCCCAAGATAACCTCTTTGGATACTTTATATTGGGTTTAGCTCAACCAAATGGCTGGAATTCCAGCAGTAAGAAGTTTTGGCCAAATATAGTGTGTCTAGTAACACGAGAGACGTGGTGTCGGCTATGTGAACCCACCCAAGGAGTTAACTCAGCCGAAGGAGCGTAGAACCGATTGACGTGAGCAGACGAAGAGCTGGAGCTGCTTCGAGAGATCCACGTAATACTGGCGCATCCAGGAATCGTTTTTCGGCCGAGCTCCTCAGTCAACTTTTGGTTTTGCGTCTTGATTTTTTCCAACAAATTGATGGACCTAAAGTTTATACTAAGCCGCCTCCGAAGGGCTGAAGGTTATTTTATGAGCAGCCTTTATTTCATGTCAGAAGTACACTCGGACATTCCCCGCTGAGGGACGACCGGAATTAGAAAATTTAATTAAAATTAGTTTAATTTAAAAAGTTTTTGGACGTTAGTACGACACCAGGACTTGAACCTGGGTCTTCCGAATGGCAGTACGCAACGCTAATCATTTGGCTTCCGCGGCTGCACTCTGGGTACATGAATTCGTATTAAGCGCCGTTAACCTTTGACGTCGCCATAGCTGACCACGAAACCGAAAAAAAACGGAATGTTCTTGAGCTTAAAAGCAAAACAAAGAAAAAAAAAAACAAAAAAATAGCAAAAAAGCATTATTATTTATGTACGTCGTGCATAGTTATTATAACAAATGTCAAAAACGCTCTACAAAATACGAAAAATTAATGGAAACGAAAACTCGAGGTCCACATACTCTCATATACGAGTCGAATATGTGACCGCATTGAAGCGTTCTTTCGAATTACGTTTAGCGCAAATTTCATTGCTTGGCGGTTGGTTGTTCATTGGTCGTTGCGGGCGGTCACGGTTTGTCGGTCGTGTCGCATCGCAACGCCTAGTTTAAGCCAAGTTCATTAACTGGCATTCCAAGCGCAAAAGCGCAGTTTTTCTACAAGCGCGTGTGCTGCCAGCGCCGATGAGCAAATCATGAAAATAAAAACAAAACAATAACAATAAAAAACAACACATTTAACAAGATAATTAAATGTTTTGAGCGTCGCGCGTCTCCACAGCGTGTCGCGGCCAAGACATTGGCTATTATTGCTTTCATTGCTGCCGCTCAGTAGCTGCATTTCATACCGCACCAGTCGCTTTGGTGTGAATATGAGCATTTAAAATTTAAATTTCAATATGAAATTATGAAAATTTATTCAAATCACGTTTGTGTGTAAGTGTGTGTGTGTGTGTGTGTCTTCGGCGCTTTACTTGGAAAATTGTATTATTTATAGCAAAATAACGAACAAAGCGCCGAACCCAGAGCGAGCCGTGATTGTGCTTATAAAAATTTTAAATTAGCACTTGTGGACCTTTCGCCATTAGTGAAGAAAGAAATTTGAGCCCTACGTGGAATCTTCTTCTTCGTCTTCATTGGCGTAGACACCACTTACGCGATTATAGCCGAATTAACAAGAACGCGCCATTCGTCTTGACGCGCATTGGAAAATATGGAGCTAAGCTGCTCTCCAGTTGATCCATCCAACGGAGTGCTGCTTCCAGCGGCGGTTAGTGCATTGAGTACTTTCAAAACTAAAGTGCTTCCCTCCAAGAGAACAACAAGACCTAGCTAACGTAGCCGCTGTCTCTTCATGCGCTGAACTATTGTACATCAATGTCATCGTATAACTCGTTCCAATACTTGAAGGATCGTATATCTTTCGGAAAACTTTTCTATCGAAGACGTCCAAGTCCGGCTCCGGCTCCGGATATTGACTTTACACATACCATATAGCAGGACGGGAATTGTGAGAGACTTGTAGGGTTTGGTTTTGGCTTAAAAGAGAGATAAAAATAGTAGTCGGCGAGCAGAAAGCTATTGGGATTTGCCGGAAAAGATATATAGAAATATAAATTTACCTATTTGACCGCCTATACTAATCCAGATCAAGTTAACAATGTTGGAAACAGTTTCAAGTTCCGTTCGCGATTTCATTTAATGACCAACGGAAAGGCCCAGTTATTACAGAACCAGTTTTTGCACAAAAAACGTCTTCCGCATGGAAGTTCTGGTATGGTTTTTCGAACAAATGGGTTATATGGTGGCTGTAGGTTATAGTGATCCAATCTGGGCGGATCCGACAAATGATCAAAAATTTCCTTATCAACCAAGTTTGGTTGAAATAACTCAAAAACTGAGAGACTCGTTTGCGTACAAACAGACGTCAAATAGTCATTCTGACTCGTTTGACATACATTTTGATGGGTCCCTAACATTTCTTCTTCTGGTACTAACAAACTTCTTATAGGAATTAATGTTATTTAACATTTTGATGTTTATTTTGTGGAGTTCGCGATAACCTATATTGGATACCAAACCAAAAATATACGTAATAATTCTATAATTATTTATATTTTATTAAAAACAGTTTCTAAATTTACAAAACTAAATAAACAAATGACTTGGAACTATTAATTATGAAATAAAATAAAAATGTTTGGTTTTTTAATTTTAATGCTTGTTCAACTAAAAATAAATGTAAACTAATTATAAATGTATATATGTATACACACGATCGTTCCTAACAACATTTATATGTACATATGTGTAATCACTAAAACATAAAAAATGTTTTTACTAAAAATTACTGCGCACACACTGCCATTAAAGTAATTTAAATAAAACTTGTTCATTTTCCACATCGATATGTAAATGCATACATACATACATACATATCTATTTACGAGTATATATAAACATTCACACTCAAATAGTCATATGAAATTATTTAAATAAAAGTCGAACGCGTAGAAAATAGTCGTAAAAAATTTGTACGCGTGACCTTAGCACTCATGACACCGCGAAACAAAGCTCCGCTTCACTGCGTCACGTGTTGCTATTGACTTTTTATGCCCAACGACTGACTAATCGAGCGGCAATCGACGTTTGAATGCGTTAAGGCGAGAAAACTTCTACAGCTGGCAAAACCATTAGCGGAATTTCCGAAAATATTCACTTTATATTCAATTTTCATATTTTTGTATGTTAAAAAATATATGTATTAATGGATCACTTGCTGATGAATAATTTCAGCATTAGGATTTCACATTAATTTCCTTTAGCCTTATTAAAATAAAACAAAATAAAAAATAAATGAGAAAAATTAAATATAAATAAACAGAGTTAAAATTAAATGAATTAAGCTAATAATTATTAATCAAAATAATATGAATAATGTAAAATACAATGCTAAAATTTCATTTATCTAATTTAAATA